GGCTTTTGGAAGTGTGTGGGCGGTTGTTACTTCCCGGCTGCTAACACCGTGGAAGTGGTTGCGTGACCGCAGAGCCCAGGGGAAAGCTGCTTGAGGCTGGTCACACGCGGCCTGTTTTCGTTTCGTCTTTTTTGTTTGGTGTGTTTCAGTAACATATTCATCACTTCTGCCATGTGACACAGCAGTAGGAAGCGCGGTAGTTGTTAATCCGGGGCCTGACCGATCCGGCATAATATTTGTGAATTTGTTTGAATCATAGAATTGGGTTGGGTAGCTGCTTTTTGTGTAACCGCTATCCAAATAACCTTTCTGGCATGGTAAGACCTCAAGCGACATAACTCTCAGCCAATATAGCTTGTTGGGTAATTGCGGTGTTCAAGCCCGACCATCAAGACAAGGTAGCAGCTTTCGGTCGGGTAAACATTATCAGGGCGAGGCGCATGTATATAGCACACAACCTTCTTCAAACCTTGCACACAACCATTAAGTCGCGTACTATCTCATCGCCTTTGACAGATCTGGCAACAAAAGGCACGAGAACACCTTCAGAGCATATGACAGGCTAGGCATCACAGGTCTGATTAATCTGAAAAGTGATAAATACATCGTCATCACAAAAGCTGATACAGGAAACTCTACATCAAATTTGGATAAATCTGAATATATAAAGAAAGTCACTGAACATTCCGAAACTGGTCCGTCCATATGAGGTTGTTAAGAAGCCCGTAGATACAATAATGAATATATTAAGAAATCTACAGCGGATTTAATACACAGAATGAAGCTGTCACTGGGTGAGTCAAAATGGTTTAATTTTATGCCTAAATCTAATAATCCTAGTAGAATGTATGGTACTATCAAAATACATAAGCCAGGTTAACCTATACAACCAATAGTAGACTTTAGGAATACTCCTACTTATGAATTATCAAAACACTTAGCTCTAATATTATGCCCCATTAGAAATCATTCAAACTCTAGACTAACTAATTCATATGAAATGAAAAATAAACTAAATGATATTCAACTACAGAATGATGAAAAAAGAATTGGTTAGTTTTGATACAACCAGTCTTCATACTAATATACCAGTCAATATGGCGGCCTTAGAAGTAGTTAAAAAAGAACTAACTGCGGATCCTGAACTCAATCATAGGACGAAGCTGCCCACTGAGGAAATTATTTTAGGAATTCACATCTACTATCTTTAAATTCTAAGGTAAAATATATAGACAAACAGGAGGTGTAGCAATGGGATCACCAATATCCCCTATTGTAGCAGACATATTTATGGACAGCTGGGAAAATATGGCTCTTAATACGTTTAATCCTACTCCAAAAATATGGTGGAGATATGTGGATGACACCTTCACAGTGTTAAAAACAGAACATATCTCTAGCTTCTTGACACACATAAACTCACTAGTAGAGGGAACAAAATTCACATTTGAATCGGAAAATGAACAAGGAAAATTAGGTATGTTAGATTGTAAAATAAAAAGAAAATGAAAAAGTAAACTGTACATACAATAGCGTTTATAGAAAGCCAACGCATTTCGTTATTAGATATTTAGACTTTAATTCATGTCATCCGTTACCTGTCTGTAAACGCTGTCTAAGTTAGGTGTCTAACAAACCAAGCAGCACCACTAAGTAGCACAAAAAAGACCTAAACGATGAAATGAAACAGATAGAAGCGGCGTTGGTGTTATATAACTATCCCATAAAATTCATCGGGAAGATCAGTAAAAACCAAAAGCAAAATAAAAATAATTGGGAAACTAGTAATAATAACATAAATAAGAGAGAATATAAGTCATCTACGGTTATACCAAATGAAGAGGGGGCATCTCAGACCCCACGTAGTATTCTAAATAAAGCAGGAATTAGGGTGGCATTTAAACCTACAAACTCACTCAGATAGGGCAAGCTCTGTAGGTTAAAGGACCCTGTCGGTTGACCCGATTAGACAAAATAATATAATTTACAAAATACCTTCCAATGACTGTGAGTTAGGTCAACTACACAGGTCAAACTAGTAGGTCAGGGGTAGTCAGATTGTCAGAACATAAGAATTTAGCTAAGGGAAGAATGGTTGACCCTGAAAAGATAAGTAATTTAGAAAAAAGCTCAGCAATTGCAATGCATGCATTAACACACAACCACACATTAAGGGTGGGTGGCATAGAGTCAAAATTCAAAAAATATAGGTAGGTAGAGATAGAAAGAGGTTGATTACTGAATCTCTGTTCACAGAATCTACCCCAACATGTGCAAGTCAGATAGTTGTGTGAGTGACTTTGTATGATTATGAGCAATAAATTCTGCTCGAAACTTGGTCATCAGTAAATATATAACACGGTGAGACCTCTATCAAAATAAATTTCACCCATAATGGGATTATACTCTACTACCACAGTGCACACAAGTTCTATTCTCATATCAACGAACCATAAATTGTGCTTGAAACCCTATCAAGAAATAAAAACACACCAGTGCATTGAACATGGAGGAGATCGTGTGAAGAGGAGTTGAAGCAGTATCGACTAACATGGATGCAGGTGAAAAATTACAGCAGAAAACAGAAGCAAGTGGAGACGTGCAGTTGAAGCCCTATGTTCCACTAGGAACCCAAGGGAACAATAATAGTAATAATAATAATACTGCATTAAACTGTATCAATCAATCATCTGCGGAAATATACTACTACAACGCGATACGCCAGATTCATTCTCCCACTAACAAGAACCATTTGACTGATGATGCCAGGTTCGGATTTAATTATCCTTAACTCTGTCTCAATTTAATCCTTTGCCGTCTAACGTTGCTCTACGAAGATAAGTATAGTAACATGTGTCCTAGCCAACTCAGTCGGTTCACTTTCACCAACTCATAGATTGACTTGCTATTCTAACCTGACAGTCGTCGCCTAACTTTGATATTTTACTCTATCAACCTATTATACCACCTAACAAGGGGGGAGATATAACACAGACACCTGGCCTTTTCGCATCTTCCAATTTAAACAGCCATGTTGTCCAATAACCATGAAGATGGACAGAACGTACTTCCGCGTAGTGCATACTTCTTTTTGATCGATAGACAGATACCACGTCTACGCTGGAGATACTGTAAAAAGGCTGGAAGGCAAATGAAACATCAGCCCTATGTGTATCCGTGATGAGATTTCGCCAGCAATTACGGCTGATTTAACCTTCCAACGGTGAACAACACTTCACTGCCTACCTTTAAACCAGAAGGCAGAGAAGTCCAGGCCTGCAGCACCATCTTATAATTAAAAGGGGTAATTCGTATGTGAAAACTCAGATTATTATTCAGAAATATATATGTAATAAATACCAGATAACTCAGAACATTTATTTTACTAGACATATAAGCGAACAATATTGTTGTTTCCAATTAGATCTACTTCAGGCTTTACTCTAATTTACATAGATTTGTATATAAAATTTTTTAACCAATGACAGTGATCTTGTGGATCCAATAATAATAATGTGGTAGATGTTTTGAACGTCGCTAATAACGATGATTATAATGATAACAAAATATTGATAATAAGGTTTATGTAGGTGGCGATAAGAATAACAAAGATAGTATATGTATATATGTAGACAATTCAATAAATAAACAAATTAGGTCAAATCTTAAAAGGTGAAATGGAACGATAATCAGAGTTTAAATAAATATCATAAAAGTACGAAGAAGATGGGAGATAAGAAAGGGTAGGAGGGTTTTGAATAGAATGCATCTAGGCCAAGGGAAAGACAAAGGTAGAACAAACTTTTTTTGTATACAAAGACACTAGGATTGTTCTCTCGAATTCCCATAGCTTCGGCTACGTGTTAAAGACGGGTTCTGATTCCGTTCGAAAGACTCGATGGAATGCGATAGATAATTTTGAAGGCGGCACTATTTTTGTCCACTTGGTGACCGCTATCAATCGAATGAGCCAAAATCGAACTTCGTATGAATTTGATTTGACCTTTTCCGAGCCAAGAAGGGAGGAAGATGCTCATTAGTGCGTTTGTCAAGCTGTCTAGTTGTTCGGCCTATATAGCTAGCTTTCTCCACACAGAAGCAACTAAATTTATAGATACACATGGAAGTGGCACAGCTAACTAGCTTATCTATCACTTGAGCAATCAAAATTGGTCGCCAGCTGGAAAATGACAAACGGAGGGTGGCGGCAGTATAAGTCCGTTTTATCGCTCTCGATAATCTCTGATGTAAGACTTTACTACTACTACTACCACATCCCCATTAAATTGCAGTTTCATAAACAGTTGTTTCTATTCAACTGTTGTCAGTTTTTCTTTATTGTATTTTTTTTATTTACAGCTTGATTCCACACTGTGTTATTTTTGGTACATGTATGGAATTTTCAGCATGGATATCGGTAGCCCAAATTTTGCAGGCCCCGACCATTGTGGTATCAGGTGTGCTTCGTCGGCAGGGGATCGAACCTCGGACCATGTGCATGGTCGGCGAAAATCCTAACCACTGTGCCACCGACGCACAGTGGTATTCAAGTGTCTCCTTACAAATCTACTAGGATAAGCCATTTGGATCAACGTACTAGCTCATTTTCTAGGGAGTCATTTGTACAGATACGTCTTGCTCTATTCGTGAGGCGGCATCTTATCAAATTGATTTTTTATCGGATTGGTACAAAACTGAGGAAATGTGTATTGTATTGTCCTACAGATGTAGGTTTCCTGTAGACATCTCTTTTGAGTGAATTATCTAGTCTCTCTTCTGGTCGATTGGATGTCAAGGAAATGTAGTCTACCATCATGCTCTTCTTCTTCTTCTTCAAAAGTGAAGATGAGCGATGACATTTCATTCTTGTCAGCTTTCACATCAAGAATAATAAACGCATCATAAACATAACGAAAATAAGAATCGGTTTTCTCTATTACTTATATATATATATATATATATATATATATATATATATATATATATATATATATATATAAGTCTATGTAAATTAAAGTAAAGCCTGAAGAAGGGGATCTAATTGAAAATGACAACAATATCGTTCGCCTATTATATTTCTTCTTCTAATATTATAAATGGGGGGGGGATATTTACAGATTTATTTTACTGGAAAAAAGTCTTTATCATCACTGAGATTGTATTTTTGGAACAGCACCCCTAGTTCGCATAAGTACTGAAGAAGAAAATCTCACTGGTAAATGTGTTACCTCATCACATTCATTCTTGAAAAAAAATAATACAATTTCCAATAGAAAGGGAAAATCTCATTTACAGACAGGAATCACATAAGACAGAGAAGCAGATCAACTGTGTGTTCAGAGTTTATCTCACTAACAACAGTGTTACTCTCATGTATCAGGTAGACTTGTAACGGACTGTCCATTTACAATCGCCTCCAGTGTAGTTTTAGTAGTGCACGTATCATCAGCACCAGTTGTTTGATTTGGTACAACCAACTTCCATAGGCCATAATCACTGCCAACAGAAGTTTGCCATAAACGAAGAGTACCGTCTTCACTGCAACTTGCGAACAGTTCACCATTAGCCGAAAATTTGACACGATGTACTGGACCAAAATGTCCCTTACATGTTTCTTAAATTTAGAAGAAAGAAACACATCGGTTTATGTGAAAGAATTGTAATAAATATGTCAATACATGCAACAGTAAAACCAATTTTGAATAGCTGTACTAAAAAGACTCTGTCTTTTTAACCGCATAACTAACAAATCAATTTAATGACTCTCGTTCGCCGCTAGAACTTTAACAGGGAGAGAAGTACTGCTCAGTTCTAGGTTGCACAAACCAAAACAATGTTGTTTATTGGTTTTAGCGTTTGACTGAAAGTGAAACGGCTCTGTGTGTTTGGATCCTAAGGTGATATTGATGCAGAAATCCTTCGCAAACGCCTCTCCAAATCGCTGGGGAAAACATACTTCGCCGCGAATCTAAGACTGACGTTTTCCTGCAAGGAACTGTTCAGCCAGAACGTGAAAAACAAGCTGTCGCATTGGGCCACTTCAACGTGCACATACCAGTTTACTTGCTCTTGCGGAGCTGGGTACATCAACCGTACCATGCACCAACTTGAAAAACGCGCTCGTGAACACTATCCAGCCTGGCTAGTAAAAGGAGAACGAAAACTTGTGTATATAGTTCAGTGACAGAACATCTGGTCAATTCAGGACATTCAGCGCTTTACGAAAAATCCATCAAAGTAATATACAAGATTCGATCAAACCTATCGAAGGGAGTGAAATGAAGACATCTGAGCATAGCCGAGGCAGTAGCTATCCAAAAGCTCAAACCCACGCTTTGTATCCGAAAGAAATACGTTCAACGCCTGTTCGTGCCTGCCATGGCCATCATAAACAGGCGAGTTGGTCGTCCAAGGGTGACTTGGAGGAGGTCATGTGAAGAGGAGATGAAAGCATGTGGGCAGACTTGGAGCGGAGTGAAAAGGTTGGTAGAGAACAGAAGGTAATGGAGACGCGCAGCTGGAACCCTATGTTCCTCTAGGAATTAAAGGATATGATAATAATAATAATCCTATCGCCTTTCTTATCCAAATTTCCTGTTTATTCATGTTATTTCAAGTTTTTCTTAATCTCCCCTCCTATTTACACTACCATACTTTCATATCCGAACTTCCTGTCTATTTTTTCATTTAATTATTTCTACATATTTAAACCCTGATTGCATAAACAATTATTCATTACATCGGTTTTTATCCAAATACCCTGTCCATCTATTTTGTTATTTCTACATTTCTAACCCCTAACTGCACAATATGTCAATCTTCCCAGTAATTATGATGCTACTTTGTTTGAGTTTATCTGTCACACCACTCTGTTTATTATGGCATTTTAATTCCTACTTGTAATTTTCAGTAATTTGACCCCTAACCGGAAATTATTCTGGAACTTTCCCGTCCATTTGATATAAATACATGAATGTACAGCCTAGATGATGACTTCGTCGAAAAGAAAATTCGCTGCAACTGTCTTCTTAATAACTTCACTAAGAAATAATAACCAATATCTACATGACTCTAAAGAAAAGGCTTACCTAACACTTCACCGGTTTCCAACTCCAGTCGATATATACAATGATCTTCTCCACCACACACAAAAAATTCCTCAAACGGATGACGACTGACTGTATTCACTGAACACGGCAAATTGAATGCTACATCAGGTTCTGGAGCTTGTGTTCTTAGACTGATTTTTCGCCAGTCAAAATAGTAGGCGAAAACTGATTTCCCACATGCCACTAAAATATCAGAAAGATTTTCGCTATCTGGCGGCATATGCAACTGTATATCGGTAACCGGATCTGACTTTTGTTTAGACCACAGATAAGTTGATACTGGTTTTGAACAAAGGTCTCGACGATCCCATAAACTAGACAATGAAGTGTTTTAATAGAATTACAAAATAAACTATCCTGAAAGTTAGTCTTACACTCAATGACGCCAAACACGGCAATCCATAGAAAAAAAAAGTGATCCATGATTTTTTTTTTCTTTCTTTTATTCCTATACGTTCCCAGTGGAACATAGGGCACCTTCAAGCTTTAGCTTTGGAATTTCAGTAGCAGTGGTGCTTTTACGGTTGCTAGGGGCTGCTGCTAGTCCTTCAGTCAACCTTCTCTTTTTGTGGGGATTGTAACCGACTGAGGGAGGGAGGCAGGCGGCGGGGGGCGTCTCCCAGCACTAAAACCCTGGACCAACAGCTCGATCCTTGAACACTTTGTCATCTCCGGCCATCGAGCGCCCCACATGAATGCTTCACAGTGGTACACAGAGTCCCTCAATATCGTACAAAGGGACTTCGGATACGACATCTGTACATAGCTGAGGCATTAGCTATTCGAGACCTAAAACCGGACCTGTGCATACAAAAACGATACATACATTCTCTGGTCCTACCACGGCCAGAATAAATTTCTTACTATAATATTGCTCCTCTCTATTATTATTATTACTGTTCTTAATACTTTTATCATTATTACTATTCCCACCATCCACATTTTATTACTACTCTATTGCTGTTTATTAATAACAGTGCTTTTTCATGCAGATTTTATATAAAAACACTTTATCGTCCTTCCACTAGTTCCTGTCCATTCTACACTAGCTTATTGATTAGTCATTATCTCACTCTTGTTAAGGCATGCCAACTTCTGTCTCCTTTCTAACTTACAATTAGTCATCCCTTCTTACATCATACATTATGTAGTACAATTTTCAAGGACAAAGTTTACCAGTATCTGACTGATCTAAAGATTTCTGTGTTAATTATAATTACGATTGCACAGCTCATGAAAGTGAATCGTCGAAAAGAAAATTTTCTTCGCTGTTTGTGCCTTTTTCTTATGACTCAATATGGGAATATTTCATTCAGTGAAGAACCTCAGAATTACTCACGCGATGATGCCATCCATCGAACGTAAGCAATGCTGCAGAGACAGCGATGATCGAACACGCAGAGTCGCCGCACATCCTCAGCTTACTTGAAGAAGCCAGGTTTCACAGGCGTAGAGCAAGATACCTCGCACCGAAGCACTGTATACCCGACCTTTGACAGCCAGGCCAACGTCGCGACGGCGCCAGAGGTCTGTCTGTCTGGATTCAACATAGAACTTGGCACCGAAGTGCAGCAGTTCGAGTTGCCACCTTCCAAATAGCACACAGAGGTAGACAAAAAGATGAGTGAAGAGAATCAATAGAGTTTGACAAGTATAAGAGTGAAACAGAATGGGTAATGGTAGAGAGGAATATGAAAGATTACAGAGATTGAATACATCTGCGCCATTGACAACGATTTTGAGCCATGTCACCTATAGTCTCCAGCCATTGATTCCTACAGTCCCGAGGGCCCCAACCCGGGAGTCTGCATCTCCCTACCTGACTCAGTTTAACTGTCAAGGATTTCATGGATTGATGCCATGTTTTTGTTTGACCACCACTGGCTCTTTTCCAACCTGAACCTATATCAGCTAGCAAAGCCCGTCGGGGGAGGCGGTGGTTAGGCATGCGCACCACGTGACCTAGCCATCTCAATCTATGTAACTTTATAACCTCGTCGATTGATTTTCCCTCTTTGCCCAACACTCTACGCCTAACGTCAACATTACTTATCTTGTGAAACCACCTAACGTGAGACAGAGATCGCAGACATCTATGATCGAAAGCAGTCAATCTTTTCATGTCTTCAACGCGTATTGGCCATGTTTCAGAGCCATAGAGAAGGACGGAGCGAACTGATGAGCAGTACACACGTCCCTTGGTTGATAACCGGATGTCACGCCTACGCCAGAGATGGTGTAAGTCAGCGAAAGCAGCTCGAGCTTTTCGGATCCGTGCTGAGATTTCATCGCCAATCAGTCCGTTGGTGCTAATACAACTTCCCAAGTAGGTGAAGTGGTCAACATGTTCTATCACTTCACTCCCTATCACTAAGTTAGGGGTTGACCTGGTCCAGTCCTGTAGCAGCATCTTACATTTTGCAGGGGCGAATCGCATGCCAAACATACGAAGATTGCTGCTCAAGGTGTTCAGAAGACTCTGCATTTTGTCAGCATCCTCCCCTAACAGGACTGTGTCATCTGCATATTCTAAGTCCAGAGGTGGCTCAAGTTGATGTATGCTACCCTAGCCTTCATTAGACGGTTGGAAATCTCATCCGTCACCCCTTTGCCAGCATTCACACAACTACCCAAATACACAAACTTATTAACAACTTCAAGCGGTTCACCCGAAAAAGTGAGTGCAGGTACAGGCTCTTGCCAATCTTGTAACAGTACTTTGAACTTAGACGGCGCAAAGAACATACCACACTTACAGACACTGATTACTAACTGACTAAGTGCGGAGGAGGAGGACACAGCGTGAAAGGTAGACGCGCAATCTAGGTATGGCACACCGGACACATTTGGGACCTGTCTAAATTAAACCATTGTTTATTTGTACGGTGAACAGCAGCAGGTAGATCTATGTAGAATGTTCCAAAAGTGTCAGCTTAAGTTGTTGCATCTAACAACACATACAGAGAGGAAGTAAATTGAAACAGAATGTATGAACACGCTAATCGTTACAGATAAATATTCAGAAAATTCATCACAATTTTTCCATTCATGATGTCTTGCTTAAATGAATAGGAACTAGGTAATAAGTGACCCGAAATTTATATCTATTTTGCTAAAGCAAATAATGTCAAAACATCAAATCTATTATATATATATATATATATATATATATATATATATATATATATACATGTGTTACCGACCGAATAGTTTTATCTCCTGATACAGATAGGACCAATGAATCTCCATGACACCACACAACCCGATAAATTGTTTCTTCATGCCCCACGAATACAGATAAAGCTGTATAAAAAAAAAGCCAGAAATCCAGATAAAATGAATTCGTTACAACGAAATCAGTGCTACTTACGCGAAAGAGGACAATTCACATCATAGATAGAAATCTTTTTGCTGTTGTCAGCTGTGAGTAACATTGAACCGCAATCAGTTTTATTAAATTCAACGCAGCGAACAATGTGATCATGGGGAATTGAATTCAATTCTTTGCCTGTATTGACACACCATATTTTTGCACTGAAGTCCGCCGATCCCGTAGCCACCTTATCGGCATGAAGGTCAAAAGCACACGACCATACAGCTCCGTCATGGCCTAGGAATGTCCCCACCCAGTCTCCTGTATCTCCTAGACGCAGTATTGCTTTACAATCTGAAGTACAAGAAAAAATACGAAAGGACTCAGTTGTGAAAATCCATCTTAATTAGAAACTAACTGTAAACAAGATTCAGTAAACATGAGTTTTGTAGGCTAGATGATAGTCAGTAGCTACAACATAGTACGTACTGGAAAATTTGTACTCTGCAAATGAAACATCAAAGCACTGAAGATACGACTTCAGGTGAACATAGAGAAAACAGAGGTAGGTGATGAAGATTCCTGGGCAACGCCAACAGCAACAACAACAATAGACAACAATCAGCTAGCATAAATGGGAGGAACCTGAAAGAAACAACCTCCTTTACTTACCTAGGAAGTATCGTTTCAACTACAGGCGGAACTGACGAGGGTATCAAAGCAAGAATCGGAAAACCAAGACAGGCTTTCATTACTCTCAAGTCTGTGTGGAGGTCAACAGCACTCAGCATGAAAATGAAAATAAGATCCGAATTTTCAAATCCAATGTGAAGTCAGTCAGTGTTACTATACGGATCAGAGACTTGGCGCGTCATAAAGAGCATCTCAAACAAACTTCAAACCTTCATTAACAGCTGTCTTCGCTCAATACTCAAGAAAAGCTCAGCAACAGGGATCTCTGGCAATGAGCAAACCAACCAGGAGCTGACTATGCAACAAATAAGCAGGAGGAAATGGAGGTGGGTTGGCTGGCCATACTCTGAGGGAACCATCAACTGAGTGATATCACTAGACAAGCGATTGCTCGAGTGGAACCCGAAAGGGGAGCGGCGAATTGGTCGTTCAAGGGTGACTTGGAGGAGGTCATGTGGGCATATAATATGAAATCCTCGGGGAACTCATCTATTTTTGGATTTGTACATTGATAATTTAACAGTATTTTGCGTAACACCAGCCACAAGTGTAGGTTTCAACGAGGTTCCCACACACCAGGAAGGCATTTCACTTTCGCTGTTGTTTCATGAATTAGGAGAGTATATTTTGTTTTGAGTAAATCATTATTTTTTTTAGTAGTACACTACGGACAATAAAAGACAAGCAGTACAAAATAACAAAATTGTAGGTAAAAATATCAGATAACAGAATCAGAAACCTATACATTCCCAATAAGTTTGTCGCCTTATGCAGTGATATCCATTGTGGTTATCAATGACTTCCATTCCGAGACGTATCTGATGACATTTTGGATGATTGAATTGCATTAACCATATAAAGTCACCTAAGGGTAATAATGCATTAACACATATTAACCCGACACAAATCCCGTCTCCATAAACAATGCCAAGTCTTTCGGATTGCTAGGCTGCTAAGACACTCGTCAAGCATGTCTCCGACACATAATTGAATGTCGCATGACTCATTGAATGAATATCTGGAACTGTACATTGATAAGAGTACAAGACACAGGAATGATTTCCAGATGAAACATGTGAATACAGACAGTCTCCGTGTGAGTCATTCGGAATATTAACAAAACTTTAAAAAATCCGTATATACTGACTGGTTTAATTGACCTAAGCAGCCGTTTTCAAACAAAGATCTCAGAAGATGGACCCCTAATGCCATCAATACACCACGTTATGTAGTCAAATATACGAGTTTGCTTCTAAATGCAGTCGACCGCTTCAAGATTACTGGTGCATCTACGTCACTTGAGTATCTTAAAGTCAAACATGTCACAGCTAAAATGTAAAGGTCGCCTGCAAGTGTGCGAATGATATAAGATAATCCAGGTCATCTTGCTGGGTTTCCCGTACAATATTTGTTAGTTTTAGAGGAAGGCACCAAAACTCGCCTGAATGTTTTACTATTATTCCAAGTGACCTGAACTTATCCTGAAACAACCAAATTAATTATATAAGCAGAGACCATTTGTTGTTGTTGTGTGTAACTTGATATGATTATGAGCAATAATTTGTGTTCGAAACGTCATCAGTTAATATTACTGTGTAACACTGTGACTTGTCAAAATAAAAACTTATCCATAATGGAGTTATACTCTACCACAGTGCCCAAGTTTTATATCATTTGTTTGATACATGTATCAGAATTATCGTTTAAACGGTGCTTTTACGAAACAAACCTTTTGAGGCCGTTAGCAAGAGATTATCAACGGCATATTTAGAGCTAAAACTCAAGTCAATAACCGGCCGCGTATGTCCACGACAAAGTATGGGTGACTGCTTCAGAACAGCCATCCTTGCACGCCGGTTAGCCGAGTCCTGCCCTTGAACTTTCGACCTACAATCTCTAAGTACTTAAAACAAACCAGCTGACAAATCCATTTTTAACAGACAGGTTTATTCGTTTTTATCCATTCTGATATAGCAAAATTGGTGACCCTAAACTATAGTAGCCCAAAACGAGACTACCTATTAAAGACCTTGATAAATCCCTACCGAACAACCAGAAGCTTCCGGAGCAGAAGTACGTAATTTGAAAAGACGTTCTCAAATTGGTAATGCAACGTTAAAAAATGGTTCCATAGGATAGTCTCCTTGTATATGTCTCAAGGAAACCCAACAATTTTTCATGGGAGTTCTCATAATTATTATTCCCTTGTGTGTCGAGTGGAAGATGGGGCTTCAACAACACATTTCTTCTTTCTTCTATTTTCAGCAGTCCTCTTAGTCCACAATTACTCATAATCTCTCATCTCCTCTTCGCAAAGTCTCCTATTTGGATTCCGCTCGAACGATGGCCAGTGTTGCGCACGATGTCGTTCGACAGTTTCCTCAACGTATGCCCGATCCATCTCCATTTTCTCCTACATATTTGCTGAAGGATCGGCTCGCGGTGGGTCGATCATTGTCAGATTTTCTTGCTGCCAATTCTCTCTGGCTGACCAGCTGACCATTTATCTTCAGCACGGAGCCAGTCAGTGAAGGTATCGACGGCTGGTGACAGTCTGAGGCAGGTTGTTGCAGATCCTCTTCGTTACGCACACTGCAAGTTTCTGACTCAAATAGAAGGATCGAGTTACCATTATTTATTTTATTTCTTTATTTTTGATTACAGCTGGATTCTACACCGTATTTTTGGTACAAGTATGGAATTTTCTGCATGGATATCGGTAGCCGAAATTTTGCAGGCCATCGATATCAGGTGTGCGTCGGCGAGGGCTCGAACCCCGGACCATATGCATGGTCGGCGAGAGTCCTAACCACTGTGCCCGAATCCTGTTCCGATTCTAGCTGGTTGGCCATCTGGCCTTCACATCTTCATTCATTCGCATTGCATGTGGTTGAAAAGATGCTTCCTAAATGAGTGAAGGGGTTGATTGTTTCAAATTTCTCCTGTTGACAGTCGTCGGTGCTTGTCCTTGTTGGTTGGTTGTTAATCTTCATCACTTCCGTCTTCCCCTTGTTCACTTGAAGTCATTTCTTCGCAGCTTCTTCCGCCTGTTCGTTGGTTCTCATCCGAAAGTCTTACAATTTATGTGATATTAGGTATAAATCAACCATAAAACCCAGATCTTCTAGCGTCCTCTTATTTATCGAACGTATCCCTGTCATCTCGCTCCTTACTCACGGTCTTCCACATAATCCAGTCCATCACAGTTATAAGTATCATCGTTGACAATAACGGGAAACCTTGTCCTACACCTGTATTGGCTTCAAAACGCCTCACTGAGCTTTCCATTGTGGATCACTTGACACGCATCATGGCTACATAGCTGCTGAATGGGGTTGATAAAGATTCGGGTACTGCCCGCCGTAGTGTTGAAGAAATCCCCAAATTACTCCTCGATCTACGCTGTCGAATGCCTTTTCGAAGTCAATGGATTCGAGGTAGAGGACCGACTGCCATTCTAAGCTTTGTTCGACGATGATATGAAGAGTCCAACTTGATCAGCGCATGATTTACCTCTCGCGAATCCACCTTGTTCCGGGCAGAGTTCTGTATTCAGTGCATCCTTTATTCTCTCCAGGATGACGCGACTTGGGATATTACTTGGCGTAGACAGCAGCCTTACTTCACTCCAGTTCTTGCACAGACATGTGTCGCTCTTCTTTGGCGGCTTGACAAGGTTTCCTTTGTTCCAATCGGTAAGTACATTCCTTTTATTCAGACATTTTTCCAATAATGGTGTGAGCACATCTGCTGCAGTCTCTGGGTCCGTTTTTTCAGTGATTTGGGGGAATTCCCTATGGTCCTGCTGCATTTCCTACCGGCTGTGAGTAGCTTGATTGCATTTCGGATTTCTGGACGATTGGTGTAACCTGGTGGTTTTGTGCGTGCTGTTGTGCTGTCTCTGAGTGACTTACATGTGATGGCCGATTCTAGAATCCTTTGAAGTGATCGGCCAACTCTTTTATTTTTTCCTCCTCCTAGTTGATTAGTTTCCCTTATTCATCTCCTGTAGGTTTCCCCTGTGTCGATCTCTTCCCGGATAGAGACTTGGTTATGTGTTAGAATGTTCTGAAGTCTTTTACCTGCGGACCATCTGCCTCTTCTGCTTCAGTTACAGCCGGCCAGTGTGTCGTAGAATTGTAGTTTGTCTTTCCTAGCATTCTTCTTCACGTCTCTCTTGATTAACTGCACTGCACATTGAACTGAGCTCCTCCTTCTGTTGTCCATCTTTGCATTAAGTCATCCTCTCTTTTACCATCCTCCTCTCATCGATTAGCTTCCAAGTAGGTATCTGTTGGCAGCCATTCCTCGCTGCGTCTCGTCTTTCTTAATAGAACAGTCGTACACATTTCCTTGAACATCACTTTCAAAGATTTCCAATGTTCTTCCATACGGTTTCCTTAGTGATACCACGTAGTGTCTCCGACTTTACTATGAACTGATCTGTAGTGAGGGCATCCCTTGTAGTTTTGCCCTTCAGTTTCTGAATGTTCAACTTGAATTGTGGCCTGTTTCCGGTTGTTCTGAAGGATTTCAGCTTCCCCTTGAATGTTCTTTGAAATAGATGATGACCTGACACCGTATATTCTCTTCTTGATATAGGTATAAAACTTGGGCACTGTGGTAGAGTATAACTCCATTATGGATGAGATTTTACTTTGATAAGTCATAGCGTTACATAGTAATATTAACTGATGACGTTTAGAGCACAAATTATTGCTCATAATCATGTCACTCGTCTTTTTCCCACCTGATTTTAAATGATAAATAACACTCATACTATAAATTCTGAAAGCACATTAACTTATATACTGATTTTTATTTAAATATCTAGTCAATTCCACACATGTGTATGAATAATGGAAAAAGTTGTGTGAGTAACCTGATATGATTATGAGCAATAATTTGTGTTCGAAACGTCATCAGTTAATATTACTGTGTAACGCTGCGACTTGTCAAAATAAAAACTTATCCATAATGGAGATTTGCTCTCTCTCCCAGCTGCGTCTTCACTTCCTTGAGCAACATTGAGATGAAATCTACTTGGTTTTTGGTGTGTTCTTCAGGCGAAATTCATGTTGCTTTTTGTATATCTTTGTTTTTGTACACGTCTCCTCCGATAACCAGATCATTGAGAGCGCAGAAATCTGTGAGTAAATCACCGTTCTCAATCACTTCCCCTGGAGCCCCTCGACCCATGAGTTCTCTTCCCGTATTTTCCGCTCCTGGTTCGGTTACCATTCATACTGCCCACTAGTATTTGGATGTCATCATTACTTTTTGCGCTTGTCTATGGAGATCTTCCTTCTTCTCTCGTCTCGCGTTGTTTGTAACAGCTTAGCACCGGATGGCTACAACTTTCATATATTTTGAGTTGAAGCCTGTTGTCAATTTTTTGCAGGGGGAATCTGGTTCCCACCTCTTTATAGCTTCGGCTGGTATTGGTGACATCATGAAAGACACTCCCTCAATATGCTAGCGGTTATCGTCGGGGTGACCAGAGTAGACTACGGATCCATCAGTTGACAATTTCAACAGTCCACATCCTTTCCATCTGATCTCGCGGATACCCAGAACTTCTGTGAATTGTCTTCGCATTTCTGTGGCCACCTGAGCAGCCTTTCTTGATGGCTTCGTGCATCGCAATGACATTCTACGTCCCCATTCTTATTCTTGCCTTGATTGAGAGAAGAAACACCGCCTGACTAGCTTCTAAAGGCTTTCACCAGCTCGATGTGTCATTACGCCCCTCCGACTCGAGCGGAGAATAAGATTGTTATTTGAATTTTTTGTTTTTAATACATTTTCTATGCGTTGAAGTTTCTCCAGGCTTTTGATAGACTTTATGGCGTATGATTGCTAGCCCTACGTCCAACCCTTCCTGCTTATCAAGACTCGGGCTCGGCAAGAAGACTAGCGATCCAGTTAATTAAACAAGGTTACCTCATAATTGGGTTTAGCTAAATTCCGTACGTAAGCAAGTCGGGATAACCTTGATTTTAGAGTCACTGCATAATCTACACATATACGATAAGGGATAATGTTTCGGAATTGTAAATCTATCGTTTGATGGGATCTTGCTTATCACTGGTTAGACAACCACCTTTCTTATAATCATTTGACAGAACAGATGGCTACTCATTATATTTCTCTTAGCTACTTTCTGATAAGAGATCTGTCGGAGTGATGTGACCAGAAAGATCACGGATGTAGTCTGTCTTCAAATAGCGTTATGATTCGACTGTTTCACCGGGACGCTGGGACATTTTATTTTATTACAGGTATGCAGTGGGACTCACATCACCGCTCGCGTATACTAGACTATAGACAAACTGGCCTATCCCTAGTAATTATTGTCCAAGAGGGCAAAACTTTTAATCGAATGCATGTATCATTAGGAAGCTTTTTCCAATTAAACATACGAAGTTGATTGTTATCAGTCATTCAGTCAGGATCAGCATAATACACATAATTGTTCACCTTCTTCCAGTTCTATCATTATCCCACTCTCTTTTAACCGAGTGCCCTATATTGACTGTTCCTCAGGTCAATACCAACCAGACAAGCTGTATCCGATGACACCATTTCACGTTAACAGGTTAATGAAGTACACATTGAGCCCGAGTCACTACGCTTACTTGAACATGAAGCAACGAAGTCTTAGCGTCTAGTAGTATGCAGTTAAGGTAGCAACGTGGAATAAAATAGCGTAGGATTATGCTTCAAGTTGTTAAATCCTTATTAGTTTGTGAAGTGTACTACTGCAGAGAAACGGCCGCAAAATCTCTGGTATGAATAAAGTAACAAACCCATAGTTCTGCGGTTAGCTTCTATCCCCATATTGAAGCTTAACATTCACCAATCCAACTTTATGTGTTACAACAGCATTATAATGCATTAAATAAGTCCAGAAGAATTAGAAATTAGGAGTTTATCGAACATTTCATTGATTGCTTGATTAGCATATACGCCAATTTCACACTGA